AAGTGAACTCGCACTCAAGTGTGACATTCAGTAGTCACATTCAAGGTTACGCGCAGGGTTGCGTTTTGCCCCCCAACGCTCTTGAAGTGCAACGTAAAAAGAATGGAAACTGAAAAAAAAAATGTTTTTTTTTTTTTTAAGAGCAAATCCAGTTGAAATCCAACTGATCTGCAAAGAGCAATTTGAAACCTTTTTCCTGCCTGGTTATAATCCAGACACGGCTGTCGTGTTGTGATGAGGTTTTTGACACAAGCTTGGATTTTTTAAAAAAAAGCAGCGATTACGGGATAATAAAAGGCAGCTGAAAAATGTTCATCGGGTTTTGGAGAGGTTAAAAAAAAAAAAAGGCTGCTTCACAGGGGGACAATATGACACGGAGTTGAATAAAAATCAAGGCTTCTAATAAAACATTTTGTGATAACATCAAGACCTCTGGTGTTATTGTGTGACTTGATGTCAGGAAAATCCGACGCGGAGAGCCGAACTTGATTTGGGGCTGTACTGTGGCAGGTGTGCGGCGACTCCATTTCGTATGAGTTTGAATGTGATTGGTTCATCCTGAACGCAGTCACATCACCACTTCCAAGAGGCCATGCACACTTGTTCAACCAATTGCATAATATTGAGTTTTGTTTTACAACATGTATTAAGCACAATTTTTGTTTGGAGCACAGACTGAAGTGATTTGAGGCGACGGTTCAGTTTGGGGCAGAGATGAATCTGTTTTGAGGTGAAACTTTGGTTTCAGGAGGCTGGGCTTTGATGAATGGAGTTTGAAAATCCCGTTTTGTGTTTTTGATCCGCATCGGGGTCGTTGGGGCGTGCTGGAGCCTATCCCAGCTGTCTACGGGCACTAGGCGGGGGACACCCTGAACCGATTGCCAGCCAATCGCAGGGCATACACAGATGAACAACCATGCACGCTCACACTTACACCTAGGGACAATTTTGAGTGTTCAATCAGCCTGCCATGCATGTTTTTGGACTGTGGGAGGAAACTGGAGTACCCGGAGAAAACCCACGTAGGCACAGGGAGAACATG